GTAAACTGATTCCAAGAAAACCTTGTTAAGTGTTTGTTAAGTGACTGTTCTAGTAGGTAGATGCTTGTTTTGCCCAATTATTGTTGGGAGCCAATGCATTAATGTCACAGCTAAGGAAAATTAGATTTTTAAAACGTATCGGTCATCCTGCAACTAATACTCACACGCAATATACCATAAACACAAGCTTCAATACCTGTACTAATCAAAAATATAATTGAGAGGTTAAAATTAGATGCTTGTTTTGCCCAATTATTGTTGGGAGCCAATGCATTAATGTCACAGCTAAGGAAAATTAGATTTTTAAAACGTATCGGTCATCCTGCAACTAATACTCACACGCAATATACCATAAACACAAGCTTCAATACCTGTACAAATCAAAAATATAATTGAGAGGTTAAAATAAGCAAAACCTACTATAGAATATGCATCAGACCAATATCTAAAATTGGAGAGAGACAACTGAAGTACAACATAGCAGAAATGAAAATAGCCCTTGTCTCCAATGAGACACCCAGCGTACCTCTACATTGTCTCCAATGTAGGCACCCAGCATTCCTCTCAGGAGTGGGTGGGGGGACATTCCTTAAGTATGGGGACACTCTGAGCAAGGTCTCTGATAATAACATCAAGGCTCAAGCATGAATGTATAGAAGGAAGTGGTCTTTCAGATACTGTGGCCCCAAGCTGCGAAAGGATTTCTAAGCAACATCAGCATTTTGAACTAGGCCAAGGAACAAGCTGCAGACGATCCATGGCATAATGGAACTATCATGTCATTTCATTCAGTGTTAAGCTTCAGGCTTTTTCCAAGAGGGGTACTCTAAACAGGAGGTTAACAGGCATGGATCATTTCATCCTCGTTGTCTGGCTATGTCTAGGTTTTAACTGGCATATCAGTCAAAATCATAAAAGGCACTCCATGCCACAGGGAGATACCAGAAGAGGGTTTGTTCTCCTAAGTCTTGGTATAAATACCAGGTCAGCCTCCTCATTTGCAACCATGGCATGGAAAAGGGAGATATGATTGACTGGTCTAGCCTTTAACAGCAGTACTCTGAATGTAAAAGAAATCAAAAGAGGGATAAAACCTAAGTAACCTCTTCTGGCATCTCCCTGTGGCATGCTCTGCATTGCCAAATTGATGGACCCAATGTGGGCTTCAGATTCAATGGATCCAAAATAATCTTTATCCATTTCCTGAATGCCCCATTTGGGATTGTGTATCACTAGTACCAACACTATCAGTGGTAGATTTGTGCTTGTAAACCTTTTCATAACCCTAACCGAACTTGCAGAGGACGTGCTTCCCCAGCAAAGGCAAGCCATGGAGGCCCTTCCACCCAATTGAAGGCTAGCAAATATATGAGTTGGGATTGCTCTGCTGATCTTTATTATTTTAAAGAACTTAAATCATTGCAGCGTTTGCATTTTTCAGGCTGGCAAATGACCAGCTGTCTTTTAGACATCTCCTCAGCTGCTTTGGCTAAATGACTACTAGCTTTTTCAGTTCCCTGAAAAGGAATGGATTGAGCAAGCAAAGTAATAAGGGTGGAGAGCAACTCATTGAAAGCAGAAAACAGTGCAAGTGCTCACAATGGTTCTGAATTCCAACACTGTATAAGCAACGTACTTTGGGTAGCAACCACAGCAATTGTGGAAATCTATGAATTGCATCAAATACTGGCCTGACCTAGTCGTGGCTCAGAAGCTAAGCTTGGTCAAACCTGGTTAGTACTTGGATTGGAGACTGGGAAGTTGAAAAAACATCCCAGAAGGCCAGGGCAAAACAACTTTGATAAGACAACTACAGCAATGTGGCTGTGAAGCTACCAGAAGCCAAGTTTCTCTCGAAGGAGACTCTACCTTTACTCTTAACCTTTAATTTCCTCAGATATTAGCAGAACCTAGCAAAAAGATTCTGCCTGCAAAACTGGCCAAGAATAGGATACTGTGGCATTTAAACTGGAGAAAGCTCACCTGTGCCTTTCCTTTAAGCCAGCTATAGAGCTAAGGATATCAGCACAACTCTGTTGCAAGACATCCAGATAACACGTTTTACTTGGATTACAGTAAAGTACACTGATACGCAGTGTACTCTAAATGCCACACTTTTCTTGCCTAGGATCTTATCTACACCCGGATATAAGTACACATATCTATAGGATAGGAGAGTGCACCAGGACCAAAGTAAACTGTGAAATGAAGAAAACTTAGTCTGTGGGACTTACAATTTATTAGTTAACTCTTACCAAGCCTCAGGAAAAAAAAAGTTTGTCTCTTTTGGCAGAGGACCAATTGTTAAAAGGATAATAGTATAGCATGATCATTTACTCTCTGAAGTTGTATTGGTTTTGGTTCCATCATCTCTTCTGTGGAAGATCTGATAGGTTGTTAAATCAAAAGAATTAACATTTCATCACCTGTTTTCACCTGAAAGTCTGGTTGGATGGCTAACCTTTGTTTTTTCTTTCTGTCCCATCATACCCCTTTCCAACAGAGGTTTGTATCTTGCCTAATGAGGTGTGTTGTCAGTGCCAATGAACCACGATACCCTTTTTATGAACTGTTGACTGAACAGCATCTTTCTGGCCTGCGGGCCATTTTGCAAAGGGACATATGGTCCTCTTGAACAGTTTAATTTCAATAAGAAACAAATTATAAATCAGCGCTGTGATGACATTTTCCCCAAATGCTATCTTAATTCAAGTTGATTTACTCCTTAGGCCTGTAGTACTTTCAGTAATCTCACATCATTTCACTTTTGCTAATATCCTGTCAAACCTATTCTATTTCTTCTTGAAACTTTGTCCAGATGATAGGCTGCTCGTTTATCATTAGTAGATGGATTTCTTGTTCTTTTCCTGCTATGCCCATGAAGGGGCAAAGTTTATTTGCTCACAACTCAAATAAGCTACTAAGATGGGGAAAAGGTGTCCTGAAGCTTTCAAAAGATTTTAGGACCCTGTTTTAGATTAAAGGACGTTCCGATCAGGGGTCTGTTTCAATCATCTCATGCCACAGTGGTTAAGTTGTGGTGAGATGCAGTCATGGAAGCTCACTAGGTGATTATGGGACAGCCACTCTCTCTCTCAGCCCAGCCTATCTCAGATGGAGGAGGGAACTTAATGAACACAACCTTGAGCTCCTGAATGAAAGACAAGATATAAATGTAATAAATAAATAAATTCTGCTTGGGTGATTTTAGTCCTTGGACTTATTCTCACTGTAGATGTATACAAATTCAAGTAGTGAAGCACCCAGCTAGCACTCCTTCCCTTTCATTCTGTGCTTTATAACATTCGTATGCAATAGTTTGCTGACTTAAAAAAAACACATCCAATATTCTGGGTATGTAGAGTTCTGCATTTAAATTTTCCTTAAAGCAACTTCTTGATTACAGAAATAGATTGTTTCTGCATCCTTGATTTTATTGATTTCATATGACTGATTTTTGGAAGAAGCACCACTGATTTCAGAAAGGGAGACTATCCATTTAAAATAAAAATAATAGAATGAGCATTTCTAACCCTTGATGTATTTTAAAAATATGCCGTAACAAACGGCCTCATCCCGGTTAGGCCCATGCCAGCCGAATTACTGAAGCTGGGCTTACTTTCCCCTGTCCAGACTTCTCCCACTTTCTGCACGAGCACTTTAGTGGCCCCCGTAGCTGGGCTCCCTCGCTTTGTGCTACGGTGGCCTGCACGAGAGGGTTTCTAATGAATGGGATCTCGGGCAGCGGTGCCCCACTTGCTCCGCGCAGGATGCCCCGCACTCTTGCTACCATGGCTGAAGCCTCCATTTGTCAATCTCTGGGATCGGAAGTCCCCCTCCAGGCAGAATTATTGTCTGACTCCCTGGAAGAACAATGAGCCGAGAATCCCCATTGACGGTAACAGGCGTCGCTGCTTCCTATTTTTGTATAAGGGAAGGGCTTAAACCCCAGCAAACGGCTGCCTCCGCAAACACCAACAGGACGGATCCTGCACGCCGTATGCCGAAGAAAAGGCTGCTCAAAGTACCCGATTAACAGGCCAACAGACCAGGTTCCCTGATCACTGCAGAGCCTCGATATTTCCCCATTGGAAGAAGCAAGGCAGCAAAGAGGCTTCCCTCGCTTTCTTAAGAGGGATCACCAAACCTTGTGTCAACGCAGCGCCCCGTGGTAAAGCGGCGAAAGTCTCACGTTAAACGCCACCAGGACGCTTCGGCCAGGCGTTTCCATTCTCACCCCAACCCCGCAAACGCGACCCTGCAACGCCCAGCGATCCTGCCTCCGCGAGGGAAATTCGGGATCGGAGTCTCCCGAGAAACCAGAAGGCGCGCCGCAATCCAAAACCTATGGAGGACCTTATTCCTTCGCTTCCAAATGGTTGAGCCTTCTCTGATCAATCCGTTCCGCCCCGTCTTTGGAAACCCGCGTTTGCGCGCTCTCGTTCTAACGTGCTTATGGTCAACCAGCTTTGTTTTCTTTTCCAAAGCCCTTTCCAGCTTTCCAGCTGCCCCACTACTCGGTTAGAACAAAAAACAGGGGTTTAATGTCTCTCTCCCCGGAGTAACACGACTCTCGGGTTCTGTCCTTACGCTACTTCCCCAAAGTGTTGTTTAAAAAAAAATTACGACGGTCATGACAACAACAACTAAGCACGATCGCAACGGAGAGCCGTGGGCGACTGCAAACAAAGAGAGCCGAGCGTCCTACGTGGGCCGGGTGTCATGTTACTCAAGGCTCTCTTTAAAACATTCGATCCCCCCCACCGCCTTCCCTTTCCCCACCTCCAAACACAGCCGTGACGGACAAGCCACGCTACCCAATGGCGAGGACAAAGGGAGTTTGGCGCCTCGCCACCCTGGGCTCGTCGTCCAATCAAGAATGGGAATAGGCGGGACGACGCCCTGGGTAGAATGGAGGCTCTACCAATGGCAGGACTGTTATTGCAGAGAAATAGTATTATGCTAATCGATGTTTTGCTCGAACTCACTCGGTGAGAGCTTTAAAAAGCCAAGCAGCCCCGGGCTGGCTGTTAGAAGCGGCGTGAGGTGCGTCGGGTGCGCGCGAGTGGGTTTGGGGTGCAGCGGGTGGTTCTGGTCTGAAGGGCGGCGAAATCCCTGTCCTCCTCTGCGGCTCTGATTTGGATTTGTAAAGACGCCCGGAGCCGCTCCGCTCCTCGTCTCCGCCACCGCCGGGCGAAGGAA